AACCCTAACTCAGAATTGTGAACACTAATTGGCAGTGGCTGCTCAAGGTTTTAGACAGGGGACGCTCCTAGCCCGTCTTGGAGATGTTGGGAATGGAACCCGGGACCTTCTGCATGCAAAGCAAGTCCTCTGCTAATGGGCTGCGACCCTTCTCCAACAACAGCACCACACAAGCACAACAAAGGAAGGTGGAAGCAGAGAGAGAGAGAAACCTCTACAAACAGTTCAGAACTTTGGAAAGAACAAGCTGTTCTTCCACCAGCAGCTCACTGGGCAGGGAAGGAAAGGTAGAAGCCGAGGGTATAGATAAGAGGGGAGAGACTTCATCAGGCAAGGCCTTCTTTCACCTGCCTTGTCCCACCCTCTAGTCCCTACTTCTCAATTTGTATTGTCCAGTGGTACCTCAGGTTACATACACTTCAGGTTACAGACTCCGCTAACCCAGAAATAGTACCTTGGATTAAGAACTTTGCTTCAGGATGAGAACAGAAATTGTGCTCCGGCGGCGTGGCGGCAGCAGGAGGCCCCATTAGCTAAAGTGGTGCTTCAGGTTAAGAACAGTTTCAGGTTAAGAACGGAACTCTGGAACGAATTAAGTACTTAACCTGAGGTACCACTGTATTATTTTATGCACTGTGGCTTGCCATCTGTTTTATTGATTGTAGTTTAGAAATAATTTATTGTAATTGTTAAGAGTGGAATTCTGTTTAATTTATATATGCTGATATTATACTATTCTATACTATACTATACTATTCTAATGATTGTTGAATGTTACTTTATTTGATGTAGGTTGTTCATTTTAAAGCTATGTTTTATTATCACATTTTTGTATTGCATTAGATTGTTATAAGGTGTACATTCTTTGTTTCTTCAGCTTCTAAACCACCTTGAGTATTGTAAGATAGAAAGGCGGTATACAAATTAAAAGTGATGATGATAAGAGGTTCCAAACTTTAGGAAAGGACTGTTGAACCAAAGCGAATATGTGTTTTAGAAAAATGACTAAGAACCACCTGCTTTATGAAGATGTGATTATTCAACAAACATTAACTGTATGATATCTGATTTGTTGCAGGAAAACCATACTCCCCCTTTACCCTGCTCCACTGAAATCATATCCAGAAAGGCAATCAAGAAGTTAACAAGTTTCCTCTCATTCTCCTGACTCTGGTCCTTTTCCCTGAGTAAAAGAACAATGAAATCTCCACACTCTGTGATAATGATAACACTTCCTGTGGTGTCAGCTATGGCCTGCTACAAACAGGATTATGATTGCAACTTAAGCAAAATGTGTCATTACATTGCTGTGGGAAGCAGAAGGGTTTTTATCAAGAGAGAGAAAAGTTTTCCACAAACTAAGCACATGGGTTCACTGACTGCATCTTTTATATTGAAGGTTCTGCTTCAAATCGCACACTTGTGTGTCAGGTGTGATTAGTAAGAAAATAAACCTAAAGACATAGGAACATGAGAAAAACATATTTCTAGCTCCCAAATCTAATGTTCACAGAACATAATCCCAAAATTGTCTGTGATTGGCCCTCGACCAAACCTGGGAAAGATGTTGGACTTCAATTCCCATCAGCCTCAGCCAGACAGGCCAATCAGCCAGTCATTTGTTATTGTTTCAGCCATGGGTCACAACAAAAAACAAAATGTGGAATAGCAATTACGGTTTAAAAAGAATATTCACAATAGCAATAATGTCTTACTTATTCATCATGCTACTGAGATGGCAGGAGATTAGGTGACGCTTTTGAAGCTACCAAGGCAAATCCTTTCTACTACTGCTAAGAGTCACACTGTTGCAAGGAGCCAGCAGAAAATCAATTTTTCTTCAGTTCAGACCAACTGGAGTTTTTACCTCAAGAGGTGAATTTGAGAATTTTGTAAGCAGTACAAAAATGAATAAGAAGGTACATCTTGTGCAGAATCACTGCCACGAGGGCAGAGTCTGAAGTGATAAGGCATTTTCCTTACAAAAAGAAAGAAAAAGTCCTGCAGTTGGCACCTGTTGCACCTTTGGATGAATTAAGGCATTTCTAAGAGCAGGATTAGTAATAAGCTTCAAATGCAAATTTATATTTAATCGTGGGTGGAGAGCAAAAACGGATCATTGGGTTATTTCTGTTTTTCTAACAAAAAGGCATATATTCAGCATTGTTCTAACCCATAGATGTTATAGTCAGCATGTTCAGCCATGAAAAAGAAGTAGCCAAAAATAAGTAGTCACTTGCTAACTATTTGCTTGTTTAAGCACAATGAAATTATGAAGTAAATGGGTTTATTGCACAGGTGTAAGAAACAAAGTGGAAACTTATTGGGTGGTGGAGTTTCTTTATGATAATAATTGTATTGTGATTGACTACCCTGAGCAGAACATCTTGCAGACGTGTGTGTGTGGCCGTGGCCTGTGCTTCCTTGCACCCCACCTGAATACTCAATAAACTGCTTTTTCTCCTCTGCAACTGTTCTTCTTCTCTGAGACTCCAGCCACTAAGGGAAATTCCCCCTACATCACTGCATACTAAGTGGCTATCTTATTACTTGCGATGGCACATAAAAACAGACATTACAAACCCAAGTACTGAAAATCTGTTTGCTTGCAAGAGGGTTCAAAGAGTGAGGAAACTCCAGAGAAAAGCCATAATGCTGAGCTTCATGAACTACACTTTGGAGCCAATTTGAACCTTTTGACAACTTGACTCCAATTTGCTCCAAGAAACACAGTTTAGCTAATCTAGTAGTTGAATGTAAAAGCCCTTTGGCAAAGCAATCCTAACTCCCTGCTGCTGCCACTAAGACTCTGCAGAGCAACTGAGCCTCCAATGCATCCACAGCCGCTCAAGGCAGCCGCAGGTGGGGGGAAGCAGATCAGGCTTGATCTCTGTGCCATCTCCAGGCCAACACTAGCTGTGAGATCAGCTCAGAATCCAGCAGATCCCCGGCTGGCCCACTGGTGGCATCCCCTCTGATGGAATGCCCCATGTTATGACTTTACACCAGATTCCACTGACAGGGATACCATCAGCAGGCCTTCCATCTCCCTACATGTCCTGCAGGAGAGCTGGGCTGGCAGACACAATTGGAGGGGTGTCCCTGCTCAATCCAAACCACACACAGCCTGATCTAAGTAGGAGAGGGGCAGATGCTGGATTGAACTGGATTGACAGCAACTGAAAGTTCTGCTAATGATAATAGCTTTGCCAGATATTTTATCAGTTTCTGGTCATCAGAAATAAATATGGAAACATCTAGGTACGTCAAGAATTATCCTCAATTTATTTTGAAAATACTCCACAATTCTCTGTGGAGAATATTGTGGAGATATTGTATCCGTTTTGCCTACAGCCTATTAGCAGCAACAAAAATTAACAAATGCTGCGTCTGCTGTGTCACATAGTTATTAACCAATTGTTCCAATAGAAAACAGTAGTGGAATCTTTAGGTATCTTGCTTGTAATCCATCTTTTTCTTCATTCAACATAGTATTGTAGTTTGAGTCTAAAACTTGTCCAAAAAAAATGTTTTCTTTCCCGAAAGGTTTTCATTATAATAATTTATTACTGGATCAATAGGGAAGCTGAATTCTAATTTGTTTGGTATTGATTAGGTGACACTTTCTGGGGGGGAAATGTGCACTACTTACACTGCATTGACTTGCTCACATCCTAATCCATCCTGTGAAATTAATATAAAATCCATCTATGAATTATACGCACTGAACATGCCTGATCAATTTCTGAATGGGAAATGTATGTCTAGGTTACCAGATCTCAGAACTTTAATCACTGGAACATTTTTCTACTCAGTTGAGATTGCAGCCCCAAAAGCATGTCAGAACCACAAGTACACTACTCCTGGTGAGTGCTAACTAGGGACTCAGCTAAACTGGTAAAGAAAAAGTGATTTATATGCAATATAACATTGTGCCACCAGATGGCACTATGGAATCCCGTTTTTCTCTATCTGTTTTCCCTGTTTAGATTTACAGAATGTCTAACTGAAACGCTTCTTTGATGTGTCTAGATCCAGCCTAGCTCTTCGAACAAATAAAACTGAATCCTCTAAATCATAGGTCTTTAAAGGTGGGTGGGAAGTAGGGTTTACCAGAAGGGGAGGGAGAAGGGGCGAGAAAAGGGAAAGTGGGCTGTACCAAGGACATACAATCATGGAGGGGGGCTAATGGGCATGTACCAAAGGAGGAACTGGGGAAAGAAGAACCCCCAACAGGCAAATGGTGAGTGTGTGCGAAAAGGGGAATCCTAGGGGAGGGCATGGAGAAGGGAAATTGAGAATATCAAGAAGATCAGCGGGGGTGGGGGGGAGAAAGACACTCTGCACATGTTCAGAGGAGCCTCTTTTTCACATAGGGAGCCTTGCAAGGTTTTTTGGGCAAGGGGTTGGCAGAAAACTAGAGGGAAGGAAGCAGTGTGGGAATACGAGTGAAAGTGATAACCTAGGCTGAAGAAAAAGAGAAGCTGGGTGCTTCAGAATTTGGGTGTGTGGAAAAAGGGCTTAGCAGTTGCAATGGGGGGAAGAAGGGTGGGGCATAGAGTGGGGAAAGCCTTGGTGTGGCTTCTCTCTCTCTCCCCCCCCCCATTTTAACAAAACTTACTCTCAAGTAAGTTCACATGACTACAACCTTAGTATCTCAATGTGAATTTGGAGAGAAAACTAGCCAGTTTTTATTTAGTTATTAATGAAACAAATACCTAAAATGGAAAGGCATCGCAAAATGAAAGAGGGACATACTTTTGGGTTTGCTTCAGAGTAGAAGAATCTGCCCACTTATAAACACCCAAAAACTACAGCATCTAACAAAGAACAACTGCTACCTAAGGGAAATGGATGTTCTGCAGATTTATTTTCTGTACACTGGATTTCAGGCCTGATGAGAATGTGAAAGTTGGCCCCATGTTGTAAGTTGGGTGTCTGAGGTGGGTCTCAAGTCTGGACCAGTTGAAGACAACTGCTGTAAATTAAGATAGGCAAACCTTGTGTGCTGGTGATGACTTCCTTTCCTTCCACTGGAATTGCGGTTATCTTCCTATTTCCCCCTCGATTTTTTCTCACATCTAATTTCTGTGGACCAGGATTAAAAAAGAGAAAGAAACAATTTGATTAGATTTCCTTTGCTTTAATCAACAGCTCCAAATGTGCTTTTTCTTCCCAGACCAAGCTTTGCTTGGGGCACCTCTGCTTGAATCCAAATCAACTGGACATGATTTGCACTTTCCTGGTCATATTAAACAAGGAGTGGATGCTGGCAGTATAGAGACCGAGTCAGATTAACACCAGGAGCGTATTTATTTATTTGCTAAAATAATTGTGGTAGTCTAGTTCCTCTCCTACCCTTCCTCATGGAGGAGTAATCTGTTCTGAATGGAATTAAAACACCGAGTGTCCACTAATGTTCAAGCTGCCTGTGTATTATTAGCTTTTCTTCCAAAAGTCTGACTAGTTACATGTAGAATTATGCACACAAAAATACTTGTATTGTACATATGATACATATAAAGTATCAAATCCTGAATGGTACTGTATTTCTGAAGCTGAATTTTGTAAACTTTTTAAAATAATAACTTTAATCCAGGATGCTTTCCACACTAGCCCTCTAGACCCTGTTGACTAAGCACTACCTGTTGACTAAGCACAAGATGGATCAAGACCAAACTGAGAAACTTTAGAAAAACTAAAAGAGTAGAACTGAATTGTTCCACTCATTGTGTGTGCATGCCAGACACAGATTCACACGGAACCATCTTTCTGTACTAAGGGCCATTAACAATCCCAGGAGCTACAGAAACCACCAATCAAAAAGACTAACATCCAGGCATTCACTGCCCTGATGCAAGCATTTGTCTGCATCTGAAGATTACATTTTGTCAAGTTGAAAAATGTAATCCATTCAGATTCTGAAAGTCATCACTGGCACTACGCTCCAACAAAGTAAAGTGAACAAATATTACTGTTAAGTGTGTACTAGGAACCTAGTATAGGAACCTAGGTGAATGTCATATTAAGGAAATTAAAAGACTGCCTTAAAGATAGCGGTGTAAAGTGCTGCATTTTCAATGGCTCTGGGGTTAAAGTCCCTCAGTATCAAATTTCAATTTCTTATCGGTTTTGAAAATGTTAAACACATTCAGAAAAATGTTGCCTGCCTGCAACCCTTAAGAAGATTAGGTTATTGCCAGCCAACTATGAGAAACTTAAATCCACTATTAATCCTAATTCCCATTGAATCAAATCTGCATTATTCAGGAAAAGCCAAGCGCATATGGATTTTGACTGCACCCATATTCCACTGTATGCCATGATCCATGTCATAAATGCTAGATGCTAAACCTCTGGCATGTGTGAGAAATAAATCCTGACTGTGGCTGCTAGAGCAATGCAAAGAGAGGAGAAGATGGCAACAAACTGCAGCAATCCCAGGTTTTGAGGCAGACCGAACAGGGCATAAGGCAAGAGAGTAAGTTTGCTTTTGTAAGAAATGAATAATGGAAGATATAAGTCATGCTTTCAGGAAAGGTGGTGAATAAAGATAAACTGTACTGTAATAACCAGCTTCTGCACTATCCCAGGATAGCCCCCCCCCCCACTCCTCATCATGTGAACCTCCATAGACACTGCCCAGGGGAGGTCACTTAAGTGCTGCAAAAGCAATGCAGGAGGTAGCATTTACTGGTCTCTGCAGCCACAGCAGGCACTGTGATTCTCCAGCAGTTTGACTTCACCCCCAGAGGTGCACTCCATTGTCTTTCGAGACAGACGGGTGCCAACATGCATGCATATTTAAAAAAATATCTTCTGCCCACTACACTTCCATAGTTTGAATTTGATTTTTTCCCCCAACCATTTGAGATGGGCAAGCCCTGCCTAACTTATAATGGTTTTGCTTGGAAACTCATACCTGGAAGTATGATAATGTTCAGTGACATTATCAACTCCAAAGAGTGATTCTGTGATGGGGAAAAAGCTCTTAGTTCGACAAAGCTGAGGATTTTTAATTCACACTATTCCTATGGCTCAGTGAACATACAACACCCTCATAGTTTTTTGTGTCAATCCTGCAAATTAAGCCCATGGTATTCTTATTTTATGAAGTTCTAAAGCTGAAAAAGCCCAAGGCTATGAATTGCATTGCCTTGCCCGCAATTTAAATTCTCCTCTAAACCCAACACTCTGCTCGCTGGTCATCACTTCTTCAATCTCAGTGTAAACTGCATTCCCTGCTACTGCCAGCCAGTCCTTTCTGTATGAGTTATTTGTAATCTCATATAAATCCTTGGTTGTGGCTGGTGGTTTATCCAGCTCATATGTTTTTTAAAACAACAACAAGAACAACAACACAAAGTTGCCCAGGTCAAATCTGGCAAAGAACAGCCCAGAGCAGTGGTGGAGCTTCATGCTCCGGCACCGGGGGGCGGGCTGGCGTGCGTCCAGGGGGCGGGGCACCGCCTGCAGGGGCGTGGTGTGCTTTCTGGGGGCGGGGCACACCGCCTGCAGGGCATGGCACCCAGTGCGGGTGGGGGGTCAGCCGCAATGGCACCCTACCAGGATCACACTGCTTGGGGCGGTGCGCTCCCCCTGCACTCCTCTTCCTCCGCCAGTGGCCCACAGAAAGATTGCCTGTATAGTGGTATATTTGGGGTGGGGGATGCCAAACCAAGTTAAGGGCAAACGTTTTTCACCAAGAGACATGGAACAAATCAAAACTTTACACATTTTGCAGCTCTCATCCTCAAGGATGTAAGTGGCAACAAATCTGAAAACCAAGAACCTTTGTTCCCATAGTTGTGCTTTAAATATACCCACTTGATCCCCAAGACCAAGCTTTGTATAATCTCTCTTTCTCCTTACCCTGGATTGCCACAAACTTTAGAGCAAAATGACACAGCATCCTTTTAACTTGTCTGAGAGTAGAACGATCAAAAGTGGAAAACAAAGAGTGGTTGACTGGAGCAGCAGAAAAAGATTAAAGTAGCTGCTATAAAGATACTGTTCAGTGGTAAAAATAACTTTTAGAATGCTCACTGGAGGGCCCAATGGTGACTGCAACCCTCAAGCCTGCAGTTCTATGAAACAGAACATCCCACAGAGAGAAAAAATATGTCTCAGTAGTCATGATTACATGTAAGTACAGGCAGCTCCATTGTTCCAGAATATTTCACAGAAGGGTAATGGGATGTCTGTCTCAGATATTTATTACCAGAATCTGACTGATGTTGATATCTCAAAGATGACTGAAGGACAATGTTGCCTACAAAATGCAATATAGCAAAATCTCTTTCCCCACCTCTTGTTCTAGAAACAATAAATTTCATTTCACTAGAAACAAAATAAACAAAATGGTCGATTATCTTGCATATATTAGCCAACAGAAAGCATGTGGATAACACACTATCCAAAATATTGACTTAGATTATTGAGATACAAAGTTTTCGATCAAATACAAAACATAAAATAAAACAACTCAAACCATCCACACAGCTATGACGTGGTAGCCAAAATCTCTTTTAAACAAACGTATCATGAAACGTATCATGTTCTCGAAGCTACAAACATGAGTTTGACCAAACTGCGGGAGGCACTGGAAGACAGGAGTGCCTGGCGTGCTCTGGTCCATGGGGTCACGAAGAGTCGGTCACGACTAAACGACTAAACAAACAACAACATCATCATCACGAAGCATCTCCAAACAGCCAAGTGCATGGTAATATTTTTAAGAAAATATAGCAAACAGAACCTGGTTCAGAATAGCTAGCTGCCAAAAAGTTCATGGAATTGTACAAGTAATAAACATGTAGGAGAGTAAAGGTAAAGGTAAAGGGACTCCTGACCGTTAGGTCCAGTCGCGAACGACTCTGGGGTTGCGGCGCTCATCTCTCTTTACTGGCCGAGGGAGCCGGCGTACAGCTTCCGAGTCATGTGGCCAGCATGACTAAGCCACTTCTGGCGAATCAGAGCAGCGCTTCATGCTTTTGAACTGCTAGGTTGGCAGGAGCTGAGACCGAGCAACAGGAGCTCACCCAGTCACGGGAATTCAAACCACCGACCTTCTGATCGGCAAGCCCTAGGCTCTGTGGTTTAACCCACAGCACCATCATGCTTAAGTCAGCTGTTAGCATCATTTGATATCTATCTTTGCTACTTTTAACTCTCAAAAAATCTTTTTATTATTTTAGATGATTAGGGATCAGAAGGGTGCAAATGTTGCCTACTGTTAATGAAGTTGTCAATCAGAAAGTGCCACATTAGCTGTGCATTTCCCTTCAAATAATTATTTTGAGTCTCTCCAAAGGTCCAGGGCACACTTAAGCAAGGAAGGGTGTTTCTAGACAACCTATTTATTGATCATGCATCCCAATCTGTTTGCTGAGGGGTTAGTTGCATCAAAGCATGTGTTATGCCACACTTTCCCATCCCTTTCCTTATCACCAAAAGTCTGAACTTTTGGAGAAGTGGGTTTGTTGTACAAGGCATTAAACTATATTTATAGAACCTGAATTTGCCAGTATATGACTGAATCCCATCTAAAAATAGAAACAGTCTGGAAGTGTCCAAAGTCTGCAACTCTAAAGACAGTAAAGTCCAAACTATTAACCTGTGAAATTTTTGTTCTTGGGTTTGGGCGTGCTTTTTAACAGGACAAGGAGACTGCCTTGAAGATTGTAGAAGCGGCACTTTCAGAGAGGGGTTTATTAGGGATGTGTATTGCCCTGCCCCATGCAACCTGTGGCCCTGATTCACGCTCCGCCCCCGCCCCCAAAAAGTCAGTCCTGGGCCAATCCAGCAGTGGATCCTATCCCTAATTAATTTGGAGGCAGAGCTGTTTAATTAGTTTAATTAATAATAATAATAATAATAATAATAATAATAATAATAATAATAATTCAGCATATTGTCAGGAAGGGAACATTACATCTCCTCCCTCTCCTCAGCTGATTTGGGTGTGCGGGGGAGGAGGGATGTCCAATTCTGCAAAGTGAATGTGGACTGCATCCTAAAAGTGGATAATAATGATAAAATTACTTTCAAAGCAAATAAAACTGTTATTTTAAAATGCATTAGTTCTA